CCCCCCCCCCCCCCCCCCCCCGCAGCGTTTGCCCAGGATTCGCCCCCTGGCCCGGGGGGGGGGGGTGAGGAGCAGGGCCTGGGCCTGGGCCTGGGCCTCGCCTTCCCCGCAGGCCTCCTGACCGGCGAGATGGGCCCCAGATACAGGGCAAACAGGCCGCTGATTAGAGGCTGTTAACGGTCATGAACAGGCTTCGCCCTGCAGATAAGCAAAGTCAGATGGGATGGGCAGGGGGGTCGGTCTCTGGCCCTTTAAGTACATGGCTGCGACTAGACTGGCATGATTTTGCGGAAATATTTTTAACGGAAAAACTTTTCCATTAAAAGTATTCCCGCAGCAGCGCGTCTAGATTGGCCCGGATGCTTTTGCGCAAAAAGTGGCCAGTGTAGACGCGATTTTGCACAAGAAAGCCCCGATCGCCATTTTAGCCATGGGGGCTTTTTTGTGCAAAACAGTTCTTCCCTGTCTTCACTGGCCGCCTTGTGCAAGTATTCTTGCGCAAGAGGGCTTTTTCCCAAGCGGGAGCGTGAAAGTATTTGGGCAAGAAGCACTGATTTTGTATATTACAAAGTCAGTGCTCTTGCGCAAATTCAAACGGCCAGTGTGGACAGCTGGCAAGTTTTTGCACAAAAGCACTTGCTTTTGCGCAAAATCTTACCAGTCTAGACACACCCCATTAGAAAAAGACTTCTTAGGGGTCTGTGCTGGCTGGATTTGGCCCGGTTCTTGAGTTGTGCAATTATTTTGTTTTTGCAATGGGCAAAGAGGAAACCTCTATTTAAAACCAGCTCTTTTCTGCCTGCTTGGGATTACTGGCCAGGAAAGCATGTGCAGCCTCACTGTTGATGCTGTGTGTCTGTGTCTTGCTTGGTTTGGGACGGTAGGACTCTGTCTGCACTACGGTGTCAATAGCTGGGGTGCCGTAGCTGTGCTGTTGTAACCTGGTCATGTAGGCTCAAGGTGTAGCCACACAAGGGGAATTTCCATCTTTACCATCTCCCTGTCGGAAGATAGAGCTAGGTTGGCAAAGGAGTGTTTCTATCTACCTTCGGGCTTAGCATAGCTACAGGGAGTAGCATAGCTATTTTTCCGGTTGCTGAACATTTGCTATGTTGACCAGACCTGAAACTAGACATTGGACTATCAGCCTTTGAAGGCTTAATCCTCATGCCTTGTAGCACAGTGCCATTGACTCTGGTTCTCAACATAGTAGGTGTGTCTGTTTACCGGGCTTTGTCAACACCTCCAATTGAATGACAAAACTTCTGTACTTCACAGGAGCTTGAACTTGCTGTGGCAAGTGGGTGTAAACAACTTGTTGCCAGCAGGAGGGCTTGCCTGTCCACAAAGATGAACTTGCCTGGGGGAGGGGGGATTTTTTGCATGCAAACATTTTGTGACATAGGGACAATTGCACCAGTTTTCAAACAAGTATCTTTATGCTTTCTCCCCTGCAGCCCCTTGCAAAAACCTTGACAAAAGTTAGGCAGCTGCTGACCAGTATGGCTTCCTTGTGCTGTATCTACCTGCTCTCACCTATTTTATAATTAGATTAGAAGCACTTTGGAACAAAGACCAGTTTTTAATTGGATATGTGTGCCACCTGTAGCAACCTCAGGTTCTGGGCTGTAACTGGGGCTCCTAGATGCTGTGGTAACACACTAAGACGGATGCTTTTGTGCAAAATCTTGCCGCCTGTCTACACTGGCCGCGAGTATTTGCGCAAGAACACTGACTTTGTACTGTACAAAATCAGTGGTTCTTGCGTAAATACTCTGACACTCCCGCTCAGGGATAAACCCTCTTGCGCAAGAGGGCCAGTGTAGACAGCCAAGTTGATTTCTTGCGCAAGAAAGCCAGGGGCTAAAATGGCCATCGGAGCTTTCTTGCACAAGAGAGCGTCTACACTGGCACGGATGTCCAATATAGTTAAATTGGAGCAAACACCTTGGATTCTGGGAGGATGCTGATTTGGGATTTAAACGTGGCTGATTTGGGATTTAAACGTGACTTATTTTGGTTTCACCTAAACCTGTTCCCACTCTTAAGCTAAAAAGAGTTGCCCTCCTGTTTAAGACAGGCCAGAGAACAGCCCTGAATGAATCCCTGTTTGAATTGGAGTCTATCTTGTACAAAACAATATCCGCTCAAGTTAAAAACATCTGGGAGCACTCATGTTCATCTGCTCAGGTTGAAACTTGCGTTCAAATCTCTTCCTTACATCCCAGAAAACCCCTCCTCCTTTAATTAGAGAAACTTTTCTGTTCATATTCGAGTGCTGGGGACAGAGTACAGGACAGACTTTGGAGACTGGGGGTCTGTGGGGCATGCCCTTGTGGAGAAGCAAAAGTGGGGGTGTTAAAGATGGGGAGGCAGCCTTCTTTCTTCCCTGATGTGGTTCCCAGCTACTGATCCATGGGGTGTTTCCGTATGTTCTTTCCTCAACCACCTGCTGGGGTTAAGGTTCTTTCAGTAGGTGCCCTCATTGTAGGTGTCTGTTTGCCAAGGAAAATGTGGTAGCGATTGGAAGCACCAATGAGAAGGGATCTGGTCAGGCAAGCAGCTTCCAGCTCAGGAGGTGTGGGGGAGGGAGAAGGCTAGGCTATGAAGTGTGAAAATGCCATCCCTGCACATCCCAAAACCCTCATATGGCTCATCATTTCTGGACCTGATTGGGAGACTTCTCCATTCATCTGAAGAAGTGGGTTGTGCCCACAAAAGCACATGACCCCATCCACATTCGCAGGGCAGTGGGAGAGCCAGGGCTGAGCTAGCAAGAGGCCGTGGGTCAGGATTATTTGAGTGTGACACTAGCAGAGCTCTGAGTGTTTGAACCTAGAGCCAGGGTAGCAGGGGGCTGCACTTTGGGAAGGAGGGGCGTTGGCAGAACTCTGCAGCCGTCCGTCCCAACTTGCCCCTCTGTTTCCCAAATGTCGTGTCATCGTGCCCAAGGTATGTGGAGAGAAAACCAACATTGCTTTTCCCAGCATAATTTACTGAAAATAATCACAAGAAACTCACGTACAAGAGTCTGCTCCCTTCAAGGCAGATTCAGGGAGCAGATCACAGGTGCTATGCTGCATCGTGTAAAGAAGTTTCTCCAGAGCTTACAAGTCTGACAGACGTGGGGATCGCACACACGCACGCAGAGGCACACACACACACACACCGTTTTACATTTAAACTGGGAGCAAACCCCCTGGACCAGTCAGTATCTGAGGGTTAAAAACAAACAACTCAAAGCCATGCTGGATTTGAGCAGTGCTGAGGCCTCTTCCGGCACAACTCAGTTTACTGGCCTGCCAGGAGCAACACCATAAAAATCAGCTTCCCAACTGCATGGCACGTGGCTGAGGATTTTGTTCCCGAGAGAAGGGAGTTCATAGCACTTCCAGGTGGCAAGACCAGGGAGCAGCTCACCTGAGAGAGCCGTGGGTAGGGACTTTTGTTGCAGTAGCTGTAGAGATCCCCGAGGAATTGAGAGTCACAGAGCAGGGAGCAGGGAAGGGGCTTAGCCCCGTTTTAGAGGCGGGGAGCTGGTGCCCAGAGAGACAGCGACAAGGTCACGCCAGGCAATACCGTGCCATAGTCCTCAAACCCAGCTCTGCTTTGGAGCCATGCGGCCAGCTTGCCTGGCCCTGGGAAAGCGTTGCAGATACCCTCCCCCCACAGCAGCCAGGGGCCACACCTAGGAGCGGGGTGGAGAACGACGAGGGGAGGAGACCTCGTCCCACAACTAACCCAGTGTAGTCGGAACGCTCTGCCCTCCCCGCGCCGGGCAGGGAGATGTGTGGGCAGCAGGTAGAGGCACAGGGACAGCTTCCGGGGGCTGTGGGCAGTGCACAGACCCGACGGGTCACCCCCGCCTCCACAAAGGGGCCGAGACACAGAGTTTTCAGAAGGAGGGGGGCAGCGTTTCGAGGGGGATCAAGGGGCTGGAATCTAAAGCGATCTATTGAGGTGGGAAGGGGGGATCAAGCAACAAAGGGGGGGCCCTTCTCCAGCCAGCGAGTGCAGACAGGAGAGGATGTTTGCAAAGCCTGGGAGGGTATTTCAGGGGGCTACAGGGCGTGAGGGGACGGTTCCCCCAGAGGTCGGCTGCAGAAGCCTTACAAATCAGACAGCTGCAGTGCCTGGAGCAGCCTTTCCCTCGGTGCCAAACGAAAAGGCAGGGAGCTCCGAGCCGCCCCACCCGCTGTGCCCTCCTAGATCCACGGGCAGGGGCTCAGAGGTGGCTCCTCCGGGGGAGGGAGGTCTTGTAGAGGGACTTGCCGCTGGCTTCAATGTAGGTGACACTCATCTCCTTGCCGTCGATCTCCACGTAGGCGAAGCCGCCCAGGGACGCCGGCGCGGCGTAGAAGAAGCGCAGGAAGCCCGCGGGCACCTGGTGGAAGTGCTTCCGCGAGTTCTCCATGAAGTTGCCGGCCCCACTCAGCACGTAGCCCACGCCGGCCTTGTCCTGCAGGTACTGATCAGAGACAGGGGGGTTACAACAGATCTGCGCCCCTGCTGCCTGAGTACCCCCTCCCCCTCCATGCCTGTCCCACAGCCAGCATGCCGGCGCCCAGGTGAGCAAGGAGTGTGCACCCGGGGTTGCCCCGTAGTAGGGCAGCACGTTGCAAGCTGGCACCCCCGCCGGTGGGCCCAGCACAGCATCTGCTGGAGCTGTTCTCTGGAGAGGGGTGGGTGGGGTTGCTGGGGGTGGGAGCCAGAGGAGCCTGGCTCTCACGGGGAGGGGACTGAAATCTCCCTGTTTGGGATCTAGTGGGTGTGGATGGGGAGAGTATTAGCCGCGTCTAGCTGGGTTCTAGTCCTAGCTCTAGAAGGAGGAGAGTGTTTCTCAGCCAATGGTACGAGTACCCTTAGGGGGACTCGAGAGAAGTCGGGGGGGGTACCTCAATACACCTGATATTTGGAGAAAACTGACGTTCTACTTTGTGTTACAGCGTTTTATTATTTTTGTACTTTTTTCACCCAAAAATGTCATCGCCCGCCCAGCTACAATTAAGTTGTTTAAACAAATGTGTTGCAATGGTAGAAAAAAATGGTTTGTCTGAAACTGTAGGTACTGGGGGGGACTTTTCTTCTTGTTTTTTTTTTTTTTTTTTTGAAAAGGGGTACTTTATAAAAAAAAGATTGAGAAATGCTGCTCTAGGGGGCTGGGCACCAGGACTCCTGTTCCCAGCTTTGGGAGGGGGTGGGGTCTCGGGGTTAGCGCAGAGGGGCTGGGAGCAGCATTCCCTGTAAGCCAGGCGCTTGTGCGGCCGCTCAGGAGAGAGTCCAATCCCGCCCAGCTGAGCACCCACCGCTAGGGCTCTTTTGTTCTGCTGGTGGTGCACAGTCTCACATGCCTCAGTGCACATGGAAAATATTATTCCGCGCATGGATGGGAAAAAAATCCGCACATACACGGAAAAGAATATACATGGAAAAGGAACGTTGGTTGGGAGCCAGGACTCCTGGGTTCTAGTCCCAGTTTTGCTGTTGCCTTCCGGCAGTGTGGCCCAGGGTGGCTGGGGCAGGGTGCAGCGGGTCAGCAGGGGAGCCCAGAGTGGGGCCCCTAGCCCAGCGCCCCTCTCCCCCTCACCTGCAGGTTGTGATCATGGCCACACAGGTAGGCAGTGGCCTTGTACTTGAGCAGCAGCGGCTGCAGGTACTTCACCAGGCAGTGGGTGGGGCCGTGTTCCGCCACTGACCACACCGGGTAGTGGCCGGCGACCAGCAGGTAGTCGTCCCGGGAAGCTGCCATCTGCTTTCTGAGCCAGGCCAGCTGGCTTCGGGCCAGCCCTACATCCCGGGGCTGCTGGGGCTGCTGGCTCTGGAAGTCGTCCGAGTTCCCGCACAGGGTGACGGTGTCGATCATGAGGAGGGCCACCGTGGCGTTGCTCTTGGGGACCTTGAACTTCAGGGAGTAGTGGTAGTTGGGGAAGTTCCTACGGAACAGAGGGGTCGAAGGTAAACTAGAGCTGATCTGCACCCCCCCCCCCCCCGCTCCTCTGACCACCAAC